GTGTTTTTAGAAATATATAAAAAACCGTTCTCTTTTCAATGCCGTTCTCCGATAAATCAAAAAATTTCAAAAATAATTTTCCGTTCTCCATTCTATGATAATTCCGTTCTCTTTTCATATTTTATCCGTCTATTGCAGCGCGTATATAGAAAATCAAAAGTGATAAGATCAAAAGAGCAGAAGACTGAAAGCGGTACATTTGATCTCTATAGTTCAATTATATTTTCTTCTCTTTTTTTTTATCGTCTAGAATTGCCATTTGATAGGATTTCTGTTTTGTAATCAAGCAACAGAAGAGGACTACAGCTACTCAGAAAACCTCGAAAACTCGGCAAACATGTTCTAAAACAGCTTTAAATCATGAATAATCCGGACACGGACAGACGTTGTCGTTTCTTTGAAACAATCACTTTTGTTCAACAGCGCTATGTTCAACGAGAATAAACGCTACTCACTTAGCGCCTTCTATAAAAGTAATTATCTTCGCAACCGTTGAGACGTCATTGATGAAACTTTCAGGATATATTTAACTAATAGTCGTTATTCATTACCCAAAATTTCAGCTCAATCCGTCTGGCGAAAAAAAAGTCGACGTTTTCAGCTCTCTTATAATGCATAAGTAACATACTTTATCCGCACTTACTGATGCTCATCTTCTGACCTTTCTCAACAACTTTTTTATTCTGTTCATTTTTACTCACAGATGTCTCTCTTGTTTTCTAGTAAATAGACTTTTTTCTCAGCCAGTTTTTTGGTCCTCTTTTGTTTTTTTGTTGTGTGTTCAACAGAAGCGCAGGGCGCCATTGCCCTATCTAATAAGATAGGATAGGGTAAGGGCGTCGTGCACATCAGAACGAATATGATATTAGAGCCCTAATATACACTTGACACTTGAAGTCACAAAACCTAGATGGCATTATTCAAGATATCATCCTCAAAACTAGTTTTCAAGAGAAAAAGGAGCGGTTAGGAAAAGCATATGCAGATTTCCAAGAATCTGCTTTTGTAATTGTCTGAAGTAAACTTCTTTTCGTCCTTAGCCGCGCTAGAAGAAAAGGAACTACTGCTTGCAACTGCTTCTTTATTGTAGTTCTATTCATAAATAACATTTTTCAGATTCATTAACTATTCGTATAAACTTTATCTAGATGATAACAAGAAAAATCCTTAATTTGAATGGAATAGTGGTTAACTGCACAACCGCATTGTTTTCTGTGACATCATGAATATTGACCTAGATATCTATTTATTTTTATTCTTTCTAACAGAGTCGACATATCATTGCAGTCGAGAGTATTGACAAATGCTTTTTTTTCTACGGTAATACAACCAAATCTCGACATTTTGCTCCCAAAAGATAATATTCTTGGCCATTGACAGGTGGAATCATTTCATTAAATGAGGCTGAACATATAACTTGATGATGGGTTGTTAATGGTTCCGCTAGAAATTCAATATTCCATGATACGCCGGGGCGAATAATCATTGTTCGTACACTCATAACTTCAGGATTTGTCAAATGTAGTTTTTGTTCTCCTTCTAAGCTATTGATTGCTAATTTGACTAACTTTTTTGTAATTGGACTCTTCACTAATTCTGGACGATCCATTTGAGATGTTTGTGATAAAACACAGATAAATAAAAGAGATGGAACAATTAATAACTTAAGCATTTTCTTGGTTTTTCTGTTTTCTTTTCAAAAATCAAGGAGAATAGTACTTCAATACAACGTTTGTTTCAAATCCTTTATATTTTATAGTTGTTACCTGTGAAACTTTCCATCTGTTTCTAGAAAATGCTTATTATATGGACTTTGTACGCAAATGACTCTAAAAATGTTTAATCGATTTCTGGGTGTGATGCGTAGAATAAGCAGTACTTACAATCCCTCGAAAGTTCAATGTACTTCCATCAATTGGCAAAAATCAAGTGGACCTTGGAGAATTGGCGCACTTCCCGATTCCCTGTATGTTCTGCCGGATCGCTATCGAACGTGTTCGATCAGCGAACGATTCGCTACTAAAGCTTTAAAAGAAATAGTTTGTCAAACCTAAGAACATGAGAGTGAAAAAACACCTGAAAGAAATCTCTGTAAAACAGAAAAAATTGTGAAG